TTCCATTCAGTTGGGAATTTCATAACCCCAACTGACGAACTCCATGATTTTTAAGAGGGGTAGGTCAACCACCAACCAGTGTTGATCAAAGCTTGATGTAGGTCTCCATGTTATGCAATGCATCGTTGTGTTATCAATGGAACCAAGGAGCCAGGGATGATGAACATCCCTGCGGTTTTTGGGAAGCTGAACAGCCCAGAGAGAAACACAGTCACAAGTCCCACCCTCTGGTTATTTAACAGCTTGCCATGGAAAATCACCATTTGTAATAGGTAAACCATCTATTTCGATTAGGGCCATCTATACCATGGCTATGTAACAAATAACCAGAGGGTAACGTTTGTTTCGAGGTGCTATCGAGTTAGTTCTCCAAGTTCTCCAGACTGGCTGAGAAATAAAATATGCAATCTATGCACCCAAAATTTCATACCCAATCCATCCAGCCAAATCCAAATCATTGATGGCTTTATCAATGTTTATCATCATTTTCCCATTAGGTTGATCATCTAATTTCACGCATTTTTTTGGATTTCTCATTCAAACAAAAATTAGAAACTCCATTTCGGGGGGACTTTCCATGACAATGTTTGATTAATAGTGGGATATAATGAGAATATACATATATTTGGGTAAATTATAACGACCTCACTGCGACCGAGCCCTGGAATCATGGTTAGTAAGGGAAATCATCCCCAAATGGCCTTAATTCAGGTTAGTGAAATATTATAATTTACCCAGATATATATATATATAGAGATACACATTTGGTGGTTTACATATAGTGATATATAGTGATATATATATATATATGTAACTTATCTCAAATGGGACTTCCCCTCAGTTGATGAATAATGGGAACATATCCCAACATTACTATTTAATATGGACCATCATCCATTAGTAACCCATGAAATCCTCATGAATATTCCATTCCTGAGGCCAGCGGCTTGTTGTACCCCAGCGCTCAAATTCTCAGCGGTGCCACAGGCGGGACATGAATCGCACGTTTTTCGCTAGCAGGGAACACCACATTTGTAGGAATTCACTTGATATAATATCTATAACTTACATACAATGTATAATATATATATATATGTATATTCACATATATTATATATTTATATGATATGGTGTAATGTACATTATATATAATATACACAAATATGTACATATTCAGAATTTCCTGTTCAGTAGCAGATTTTTTGTTGGCAAATCCATGGGCTTTTTGTAGACAGTTACTGGGGAAACCAACTGGATGGTTTGTTTTGACGTTTGGTGAACTGGAAAATCACCATGTTAAAAACGGTAAAACATCATGTGTATCATCTATTTCTAGCAATTTGCCCATAGCTATATGTTCAATAACCAGGGATTATAATATAGGGTATGTGAGATTGCTGATGTCTATAGATGACTTCAGAGCAAGAGTTTATGTTCATTGGATTATGAGACACACCCTAAATCTGCACAACATTCACCTTAGAGTTGACTTCCATATTTTTCAGGGGGTAGGTCAACCACCAACCAGAGCGTTTTGACTTGATGGCGCCTGAGGAGATAGTTGTTCAGTAGGCGTTTGAAAACCATGTTCACCGAAGATAATAAGCCTCAAGGTACCCATCAGAAATGTTGATCATCACCACGGTGATTTGAGATATTTTTTCTTGGGTTACCCTTCAGTAAACTCACATAGCTATGGAAAGTTTGCCATTTACAGTTGATTTACCTATTCAAATAGTGATTTTCCCATAGCTACGGTGGGTGGTTGCGAAATCCTGCACCACCTTTGATGGTTGAAACCCTATAAATAATGGGATGTTTACCACCGTTTTCAACTGGTGATTCGGATTTCGCTGGCCCATCCACAGTATGTAAACGATTACCAGAGGGAACGTCCTGATTCACCATCCCAAGACGAGCGTTGAAACAACAACGGATGCGACAGGCGTTGGCGAATGCGGTGATGTGAACGTGGAGTATAGTGGAGATTTCGAGTCTCTTGGTGAATGAGGAGAAAATCGCAAGATGTGGTGGTAGTTTCAGCAGGGAGCTTCTGGTATGTTCTGGTTTCTTGAAATGATCCCACAACCCCGAACTGCTTTGCTTTGCTTAGCCACATTTTAATGATGGTGCTCTTCCTGCTATCGCCCAAGACCCAGCGAAAGTGAAAACGCCTCCGGCAACGTTGGCGGAGAGTGTAGGTGGAAGATGTAATCCACATCGAAATATGCCCGAATTCTGCCCTGCACCGGGGGTTAATGTACCCATCATGTTTGGAATCCCATTCATGATTCATGATGGTGGGATGGCCCCATGAATATCCCAAACATTGTTGACAGCAAAAGAGACGCCCCCAGTAGCTCACCAATCATGGTAAGAATGGCCCCGGAGTACCCAAGTTGAGCAGCAGACTTGTTCAAATCTTTTGGCGGATCTTTCTCAAGGTGTGAAGCCAAACAAGTGGAATGATTTTCCTACCTGGTTGGTGGTAGGTGCGAGTTGCAACTTCTAAACGACATGTATAATCATATATAATCATATATACATATTATATATATACTATATTATAAATATATTATAAATATATTTTAAATATGTATATATTATAAATATATATATATATATACATACATACATACACATACACATATACATATATATATATATGTACATATACATATACATATAAATATACATATAAATTTACATATAATTAATCAAATATGTATTTGTTTTTGTGGCAACATTCTACTTGGGGTTCTTGTTTCTCTTCAACATCACCAAGGTTGGCCTGCAACAACGGCATGCTCGAGGCGATGGGGAATCCTTGGATCCACATAGCATGGAAATCCATAGGATTTTACTATAGGAAAAGCCATAGGAACATGGGAAAACCATAGCAAAACCATAGGAAAATCAAGGTTTACCCTCTGGTACATAGAAAAACTATGGAACATCACCATTTAATGGGATGTTAATGGGATGTTAATGGTTTATTGATGGTGAAATGGTGGTTTAATGATGGTTTATTGACGGTATATTGATGGTCAATTGATGGTCTAATGATGGCTTAATGGGATGTTAATGGGATATATTAATGTGAATGGAACAAGATGAAAGATGGGTAGTTTAACTAATCCAGAATAGTCTTTTGGTATGGGATTCTCTACCAACCAGCTAAGAATTTGATTGTTTGCAGGGTATCTAAGAATGGCCAGGATTATAGGTTTATATAGGGATTGTAGGGATTGTCGCCAGAAAGTGTGAAGAACCCTAGTCTGTGTTTGTTGACAACACTCAAATTGAGTTGATCATCGTAGGTTTTTTTGGGTGGTTTTCCATCAAAGATGGGGACAGATGTTGATAGAGGATCAATGGGAATTTCAGGATCCTAAGATGGAGGTCCTGTACCATATTTCAGGCCATATTTTGTGGGGAGATTCCCAGAAACATAGGCTTGAAAAATAGGCCTTATAATATATATATATACATATTAATATTATATATATTATAATATATATATATATTACTGTATATGGTAGGTACCTCCAATCAATCGGTCCCTGAAATGGTTCTACCACCTGGCTTAAAAGCCATCGCTAATTTGTTGGGGATTATGAAGCCATAGTGGGGGAAACCTATCATCCAACTGGTAGTTCATGAAATTTTATGGCCCAGGGCCTAGATCTACTTAATGGTGATTTATGATGGCACAATGGTTTTTTTGGGGGATATCGATGGGATATCATGGGTATGACCAAGACCGCACATTAATGCATATCATGGGTATCGATGTTTGTTCAAACATGGAGTGTACCCTCTGGTAAACTAACATAACTATGGAAAATCACCATGCTATTAATGGGTAAATCAACTATAAATGTGGTATTTTCAATAGCTATGTGTGTTCAATTGTAATGGCTTATCTGACTACTGCCCCATGTGGGATAATCAAGCTGAAGAAGAAGTATAGAAAAGGTAATTACCTGACCCTGAAGCCATGAAGTGGAATAAACATGACCAACCCACTTCATGTGTTTTTGCATTTGTTAATGCTGCGTGTTCCATTGCCTTTGGTAGACGAGAAGAGCATCGATGAGAGCTTCCGTGAAACCTCAGACTTCGACTCAAAATGGCTCCGCTCGGAAACACCATGCTCTACGTTGAGACGTCCTTCTTCATTCCGAGGATCCAGTTGTTGCTTACGAGCTGTATCTCCATTGGCAAGCTAAAAAAGCTGTTCACCAATGGCAACTTTATTGGGCCAGGAGGAATTCCTCTTGGCGGCTTCGCACACTGTACAGAGTTGTCCAGATTGCATGTCGAATTAGTGATTTGGTTGATGCTGCTCCCAATCCGAATGATTGGCAGCACTCGCTCTTTCAAGGTGTCCTGCACTGGTTTCTTTTAGTTATGAGAATCTTACAGCCACAGACTGAGTCCGGACGAAGTAAATAGGTTTGGATTTTTTTTATCGTGTTGTTTTTCATTTTCCTTTTTCATCTCATTATCCGATCAAGTGAAATTGTTGTTTTTCTTTGTCATGCTCCAATCATGGGCAAGTGTCATTCTCTGGTTGGTGGTTTCAATCATGTGTTATTTTCCATTTCATATATGGGATGTCATCCTTCCCATTGCCGAACTTAGATTTTTCAAGATGGTTATTGCACCACCAACCAGTATAATATGTGGGATTTCACCATCAACAATAAGGATGTAATGGTACTTTAACCAAAAATAGTCGGGATGTTATGGGGATATTACGGGGATACGTATGGGGTTTAATCATCAAGAGCAGGGATTTACGCAGTACAAATGGCAGCGTTAACCGTTGTGTCCCAAGTCGCCACGGCCACGGCTGAGAGTGCTTGGACGTGCCAAACAAACATGATTCTAGCCCCAACTATGTGTGGGATATCCTTTGTTAATCGTTGTTATATATATATGTACTGGTTGGTGGTTTGGAACATGTTTTATTTTTCCATATATTGGGAATTTCATAACCCAAACTGACTTTCATATGTTTCAGATGGGGTAGGTATGCCACCAAACAGTGTAAATATATTTTCGTAGATGATTGTGGATTAGTCACCAGCTCCTGGATTTACATGCTTAGTTGGTGAAGATTCCCATGTTTTGTTGCTTCAAAAGCGCGCTTCATGTCTCTTTGTTCATGGTTACATTCCAATGGTTCTGGCTGTTTTTCTGGTTCTCTCCCCAACAAACACAGGTTAAATCCACAAGCACTGATTCAGGCTTAGAAGTAAACCAATGTTAAAATGTCCTAATAATTTAAAGCTAAAAACTCAAGAGTTTAGGCTTGGCTCCTGATTTTGGGGATGGTTACCCTCTGGTAAACGTTTACATAGCTATGGAAAATCATCATTTTATAGCTGGGTGAATCCACTATTTCTATGACCATTTTCCATAGCTATTTTGACATAACCAGAGGGTAATTCACTGACCTGAACATTTTGGGATAATTCCCCTAACATTCACCATTCCAGTGACATCACTATAATCCAACCATCAATGTATTGGTTAAAGGGAAAATCTGCAGAAAACCACCATAGAAATAGTGAGTTTTCCCATGAAAAATGGTGAGTTTCCATAGTAAATATAGTTATATCTACCATAAACCATAGAATTCCCCAAGTCAACCCATCCGATACGATTCCACATGCGTCCCTCGAACCAGCGCCAGGCGGGATCTTCGGATGCCTGCCGTCAGACCTGCTCCACCTATGGGTCGTCCACCACTGTTGGGGCGCACGGCAGGTTTCGAAGATCGAATGATGTGTGGATCAAACAGTTTTATAACTGGTGGTAACCCCCAAAAAAAAAATAGAAATAAGTATATAGAGGTTTCCTGAAATAGGGGTACCTCTAAATCATCCATGTTCATAGGATTTTCCGTTACAAAGCAACCATTTTGATCCATTTTGGGGATCCCCGTTTATGGAAACCTCCATATTGTCAATATTGTTGGATTGGATTTTACTGTTCTATTTTTGGGGAGTACTATACCAGACCATACCACAGGGGGATGAACATGGTGAAAAATGGGTAGTTGGTTTTGAGCCATGGATATTTATGGAGATATTGTTTTGCATCAAAATGTTAAGGCCGGCCTAGATCCAGAACAATATCTCCATAAATGATCTATGGTGAATATTTCTGGGATGATTAATTGATATCGTCATGGTGATTTATGATGGCACAATGTTTTTTTTGATATCGATGGGTTTTATTTAATGGGTATGACAAAGACCGGACCGGGATGCATATCATGGGTATTACGGTATCGATGTTTGTTCAAACATGGAGTGTACCCTCTGGTTATGTCAAAATAGCTATTGAAAATGGCCATTTATAGTTGATTTACCCATTAATAGCATGGTGATTTTCCATAGTTATGTTAGTTTACCAGAGGGTACCCAGTTGATGGCAATGTACCCACATGACTTAGGAAACCTCCATATCAGACCATAGGAACTATGCCTCACTCTCAAACCAGCGAACATCGCAAGTGATGAGTTTCGAACCCATCAGTTGCTACAAGTAGTGGTTTTGCGTGGTTTTGCAATCTTTTGCTGCTGAAGCAGCAATTCTTGCTGGTAGAACTCCCAAGTATCTGAATGATTTTGCCATCCCTGACAAAATTTCACCACTGGAATTGGCCTGGATGAGTCACAATGAATGATTCAACATGTAATATCTGAAACAATGATTTTTTCTTGATGTGTTCTCTTTCTAAGAAACATCATTTCGGTCTCGCTGAACATGTGGTACCTGAAAAATCACTTCAGAATCATCATCATTCTCCTCATGAACATTGCCCCAAAATGGATGATTTATAATGGAAAAAATCCATCTATAAATGGATGATTTGGGGGTATTCCTATTTTATGAAACCTCCATATATAAACATATATATATATATATACGTTGATCTATCGGAAAAGTGGGTGGTGATCTTCAAAACCATCTACGGTGTGTTCCGCGCGATTGAAACCACCGCTCCATAAGAACCCAGTCAAATGTACAACTGGTTGGTGGTTTGGAACATGTTTTATTTTTCCATATATTGGGAATTTCATAATCCCAACTGACGAAATCATACAGAGGGGTAGGTCAACCACCAACCAGACAAAAGAGGCTTGGATGATTGAAGATGGTTGACCATAAGTTGCCCCTGGCGATCAGTTGCCCCCCCAAAAAATGGCCTCGGATGGCCCTCGTCAATCCGCCGCCACTTTCGGAGAAAACCATATTGTAGGTACCCTCTGGCTATATTTAACAGTTTGCTATTGAAAATGACCATTTATAGTGGATTTTCCCATTGAAAATGGTGATTTTCTATAGTTATGTTAGTTCACCAGAGGGTAAGATATTTCTACAAGGTGAAGTTACAAGTTAGCTTATACAGCCATGAAAACTCAACACTTCTATACCGCTAATCAACCTTAAACAGGCCAAACCAAGTGATGTTCATCAACTTGGCTATGCAATATCAATGATAAGTCATGTGATAAGTTCTGAAATCACCATTTTTTGGCTACGTGAAGTCCCAATTTTCCCACGTTTTTTTTTCCGTTTCCGATCGTTAACGGCTTGGCGGCTTGACCCATCTTTTTTGCCTCGAAGGTCACCATTGATGGGCAGAGCTACTCTGTGGCGCCAGGGGAAACCCAGAGCCGGTGGTGCCAGGGTAAAAATATAGGGTATCCCCTGGTAAACATACAAAATACGATGGAAAATCACCATTTTTAATGGGAAAACTCACTATAAATGGCAATTTTCAATAGCTATGTTAAATTACCAGAGGGTAAGCACAATTTTACTTAGAAAAAAATCCAACCATCAAACATTTGAAGTTTTTTGCCGGTACAGGTTGATTGTGGCGTTGGGAGTTCAGTTTTAAAATAAACCTAAATCCCTTCACGATATTGTTTGTGTGCTAGGGTTTTAATCTGCGTACACCCCTAAGCCACCTTGGCCCAGGCCTTCTGCGCGCATTGCGCATGGTGCGGCCGGGTCACAGGCCTCTTTCGGGTCGCAGCTTTTGCACCAGGTAACTTGATGGGTAACTAAAATAAGTATATAATTATATATATATACATTAAATTATATATATATATAACTGTATACATATACATATATATATATGTTTAAATATTTTTAGATGGGATTCCATGGGATGAAGCGAATGTTATGATTCCATAGATTGAAATGATGCGAATGGGAGGAGTTTTCCCTCTTTTTAACTACCATAACTATAGGAAAAACATTTTTGTACTATAGGTAAATCATCTATAAATTGTCCATGTTCCATAACTATGTAAACGTTTACCATAGGCTACACCCCAGTGAATGGAGTATGGTTAGCCTAGTTGGAACATGTTGGCACAAGCCGTTGTTTGAACCAAGTAGCTGTTAGATGTTGGATGGTGGAGCCCCTTGCTGTTAGATTGCTGAACACCGGTGTTTTTTTTTTAAAGTAGGGTGCTTGCCGCAAATTCAAACAGTTGGTGTTTTTTTTTATGATTTCAAAAAAACAGGAAATGTGTATTTTCCGGCTTTGATGGCCGTACATGGTGAAAAATCCACCATTGTTTGAACAAACCCAGTTATTGCTGATTGAAAACCCAATCTTTACTATAAGTGTTGGGTATATCACCGATTTTGGGGTTTCAATTATGCTATGTTCACAGCTTCAAGCTACCGTGCAATAAACTGGCATAGATAGATATAGTGAAATTCCACCAATCTCACAGCTTGTCCAAAGCATACTGTATCTATGTAACAGTTTACGGAGGGTTGAATGAGAATGAGTATAGCTCAAAGTTGAGAAACTCAAATCCTCTAGTTTAACAAAATGTATCCCTTGACGCTGTCATTCTTGTGCATCCCAAATGTTGAGACAAACCCATATGATATTCCATGCCTTTCTCACATGAATGTCCTTTAATTGTCCTTTAATGTTCGTATTGTGAATTATTGATCTTTAAAGATTTGGAATTATAAAGATCTTTAATGTCCTTTAATGTCCTCGAATCATTGGAATTTTCAATGATCTTTAATTGTTCCTTTAATTGTCCTTTAATGTTCCAATGATTCTCGATGTTCATGTAACATCTGGAAAGTTATTTGGACATTCTTGAGGATTCGAGGAATGTCTACCCGTAACAATGTCTACCCATATTATGTGAAGCTTCTCCAATAGACCATCCTCAAATATTTCTCCCCCCATAGTGAACGAAGGTGAATCCCATTAAGCCCTGGACTGTGACTGAGAATCCAATCTTTCTGCTTCAAAAACCCTAAACATTTCCTGGAAGTCCCAAGTCTAGCTGCATTTAGCTGCTTAAATCCCCTTTCTACTAGGCTGTTGTGTTTAGATACCCAGAATTCTTAGGGTGACCTCCCTATTTTTTATTGGTTAAATCCTCATGCTCTTAGCCTAAATGTCAAGTCGAGCTGCTTAAATCATCATTTTACTGGATTTCATTCTAGTTTCAGCTGCTCAAATCTCCATTTCTCATTGTAAAATACCAATTTCTTAAGGTCAAATATCAATTTCTCCTGGTCAAATACCAATTTCTCATTGTAAAATACTATAATGTCTCATGGTTTTACCCATATTTTGCCTTCTTTCCATCATGTTTTCACCATGTTTCATGGTTTCAGGAAGGGCCCGCCCAATTCGAAGTTAGTTTATAGCCCAACCAACTGCAGATAGATCATGATATGGGGGTTTCCATCAATGTGCGTACCCCGAAATGGATGGTTAATAATGGAAAATCCTATATAAATGGATGATCTGGGGGTACCCCTATTTTAGGAAACCTTCATAGATCCACCAGGAACCCAATAGTTAGCCTAGTTATCTTTACCAACTTAGCATGCAGCAATGATTTTCGTCCATATGAATTATCATATTTGGCCAACGGTTGAAGCACCATCTTTTCTTGGTCAATTCCCATAACCGTTTCTTGGA